CCGCCGACCGCGACAACCCGGGGAGAGGGCGCGGCGACCGCGCCGCCGCCGCCGCCGCGTACGTTTTACGGGTTGTCGCGGTCCGCCGTGGACACGAAAGCCGCGACCGCGCCGCAGGAGGAGGAGGAGGAAGGAGACGAAGAGGAATACGAAGAGGAATACGAAGAGGAATACGAAGACGACTCCAGATGGCTCCAACCTCCTCCGGAGCACGACGACGCCGCCGGGGAGCGTCTCGAAGAGGAAGAGGAAGACGAAGACGCGACGAGACCGGAGCGCGAGAGCGTCGCGGAAGACGCCGAAAACACATAACTAGCCTTCACGACGTTAGCACGCGCGTGATGTAGTAGAATAGGACGACGTCCGTAGTCATCACACGTCGTCCACGAGCGAGCACAGACCGTACGAGCTGCTTCCCCCGACGTCGACGTCGACGCGCGGCGCACGGAACGTCGCCGCCGCGGTCGAAGCCCCCCCCAGGCACCGATCGAGTCGCGCGCGCGTGTCCGCCGCTTTCGAGCGCCGCGTGAAGCCGCGTCGGGACGGTCTCGCGGCGTCGCTCGTCGCTCGCATCGCGCGTATCGCGGAGGTTGCTCTCGTCGCGTCGCGCGCGTCGACGCGCCCGGAGTGCACGAGCCGCGACGCCAGCGCCGCGCGCGGCGGCGGCGCCGGCGACGTTTTCTTCCTACGCCCGACGTCCCCGACCCTGGACGCGACTTTGGACCAATCGCGCGTCGAAACCAGAGACGACGTCGTGCGACCCATCGCCGTCGTCGTCGCGTCGTCGTCGACGATGTCGACGACGACGACGCGCGTCTCGTCGGGCGTCGGCGATCCCGCCGCGCGCGCGTCCTCCTCCTCCTCCTCCTCCTCCTCCTCCGCCGCCGCCGCCGGCGCCGCCGCCGCCTCGTTCCTCTCGTCCCTTTTCCCGACCCCGCGCTTCCCCGCCGCGTCCCTCGCCCTCGCCTTCGCCTCCTCGTTCACTAACGCCGCTCGAATCGCCTTCAACGCCGCCTTCCCCGACCCTTTATCCCTCAGATACGCGTACGGCACGGGCGGCAACCCCGCGGCTTTCATCGCGTCTCTCGACGCGGACAACACCGCGCGCATCGCGGCTCTCTCCTCCTCGCCCGCCTCCGCCTCCGCCGCGCCCGATCCTCTCAGCTCCTCGATCTCTCTCGCCGCCCTGCTTTCGAACCGCGCGACGTCGTTCGCCGCTCGTTCCGCCTCGGCCGCGAGCCGCGCGAGCCGCTCGCGCTTCTCCCCGCCTTCTCTGAGCGCGTCTAAAAGTTTCTTACGACGTAATCCGCGCGCCCAATTCGCGTCGAACCCGCCGCCGCCGCCGCCGCCGCCGCCGTCGTCATCCTCCTCCTCCTCCTCCTCACCCCCGACGCCGCCGCCGCCGTCCTTCGCGCGCGCGCCCCGCTCGCTCTCCGCCATCGCGCCGCGGAGCTTCGCGAACTGCTTCTTGCTCGACATGATGACCTCGAACTCGTCCAGCTCGATGAGTCCGCTGCCGTCGAAATCGACCGACGCGATGAGCACCTTCAGCTCGCCCTCGTGCCGCGTGCCGACGACGCCGAAGCCCTCGAGGAGCTCTTCCGCGTCGAGCGCGCCGCTGTCGTCGTCGTCCAGGAGGCGAAACACCTCTCTGATCTCCGCGAGCTCGTCGTCGGAGAGCTCGGGGAGGATGGAGAAGCCTCTCGCGACGAGCCACGCGTCGACGCGCTCGCCCCATCGCGGATCGCACGACCCGTCGGCGAGCGACGCGAGCGCGCGCTCGGGGAGGTCTTTCGCGCGCGCGCGCGAGGACTTGACCACCTTCGCGAGCTCGCGCGGCGGGGTCGTGTTCACGGACGAGCACCACGCGGGTCCGTCTCGCGCGGTTTGTTGTCTGACGTTCAAAAGCCGCGAAGGCGGCGAGGGCGAAGACGGCGGCCTCGACGCGCGCGACGACGACGACGACGACGACGACGGCGGCGTGTTCGTCGCGTTTGGCATCGGCATTCTTTTTCGGGAAGGGACGGGATGGGACGACCCTCCGCGGCCGACGCGCGCGCGCGGTGGATCCTCAAGCGTCGAACGCGATCGATGGGATGGAGGGGGAGGCGTCGATGCGACGGCCTCGCGCGGACGCGGTGTGACGCGTCGCCGACGCCGCGTGTATTCTCGTCGCCCGCGCGATGGACGAGCCAAAAAGAAACGCCTCGGACGAGACGAGACGCGAAGAGGCCGCCGCGCTGAGTCTTCACGAGCCTCGCCTGCCTCGGCGGGCGGGCGCGGCGCGATCGTCTCCACTCCATCTCGCGCGCGGCGCCGGCGGTCTCGCGCGCGTTTCACCGATGACGGCGACGATCGACGACGCGGAGCGGCTCCTCGTGTCCGCGTCGTTCGCGGAAGCGTCCGCGGCCGCGTCCGCCGCGCGCCTCGCCGCGCGCGATCCCGCGGACCGCGTCGCCGCGGAGTGCGTCTGGATCCAGGCTGAGTTCAAGCTCGGGGCGCTGTCGACGCACGACGCGGACGCGGCGCGGATGCTCGCGGGGACGACGCTCGAGCCGGGAGGGGCGACGTTCGAGCCCGCGTCGCTCGTGCTCTGGTGCAAGCTCCGGCTGCACGACGCCGACGACGCCGCGGGGGAGGAAGCGGGCGAGGCGGCGCTGTGGACGATGTTCGAGCGCGCGAAGGAACGATGCGCCGCGGCGCCCTCGACGTCGTCCCCCGCGGCGGCGGCGTCGACGTCCTCGCCCTCTTCCGCCCCCACGGGCGGAGGAACGCCGCGCGCGGAAGACGAAACGTCGACCGGCACGATCGAGGACGACATCGTCATGGGCACCGCGGCGTGGATGTACGCCGTGCACCTGCTGTGCGAGCGACGAAAGAGGCCGGACGCCGCGGCGAAGTGGCTGCAGTACGCGTGGGGGTTTCTCCCGCCGGACGCGCGCGAACGGCTGACGGACTCGATCGTGTCGTACTGCCGCGCGGGGGGCGACGGCGACGGGGGGGGGAGCGGGAGTGGTGGGGGCGAGGCGGCGGCGACGACGGCGGGGATCGAACCGGCGGCGACGGCGGGGGAGAGGATGCCGACGCCGTCGCCGGCGCCGGGGTCGGCGCGAAGGGCGCGGTCGAAACCCGGACGCGGACGATCGGCGGCGCACCCGCGCGGAACGCCGGGAGAGGAAGAGGGAGCGGGAGAGATCGAGATCGAGGCCGCCGGGGGCGTTCTCGAAGGCGACGCGAACGCAAACCGACCGGGCACGCCGCCGGCGGGCACGCCGCCGCCGCCGCCGCCGCGGAGCGACCGACCGTCGACCCTGAGCGAGCTGCTCGCCGCCGTCGCGGAGAGCGTCGACGGGTTGAGTTTTTCAAAGATGACGGACGCGACGTCTCCGACGTTCGTCAGGGACGCCGCGGTCGGCGGCGTCGCCGCGGTGCTCGCGGGCGTCGCCGCGTACGCGGTGTTCGCGGAGGCGAGAGGGAGCTGGAGGCGGTGGCGCGCGCGCCGAGGGAGGATGTGAGGACGTAGGTTGTCGCGGCGTTCGTTGTTGGTTTATTTAGACACGCGCCACGAAATCGACGCCTTTCGCTGCCTTCTTTTCCGCGACCGAAAAGACGCGGCGGCGCGTCGGCCGCGTCCACTTATCCCCACGCGGCGGCGCGATGGCCGCGACCGCGATGGCTTCCCTGAACGTCCTCGCGCTGAACCCTCGCGCGCGCGCTTCCCCGCGCGGCGCGACGCGCGTCGTCGCCCCGCGCGTCCTCGCGCGCGCGCCCGGGGTACTCCGCGCCGCAGTCGCCGCGCGCGCGACGCACAAGTTCGCCAAGTACCAGGGTCTCGGGAACGACTTCGTGATGATCGACGAGCGCGACGGACCGGTCGGCGCGCCGTCCATCACGGGCGAACAGGCTGCGAAGATGTGCGATCGCAACTTCGGCATCGGCGCCGACGGCGTCATCGTCGCGATGCCGAAGGGCAGCGCGGAGTACCCCGGGCGCGTCGTCGAGGAGGAGGACTACGCGATGCGGATGTTCAACAGCGACGGCACGGAGCCGGAGATGTGCGGCAACGGCATCCGATGCCTCGCCAACTTCGTCGCCGCGATCGACGACGCGGACCCCAGGGCGTACAAAGTCGGCACCCTCGCGGGCTTGATCCAGCCCGAGTGCAAGCCCGACGGTCAGGTCGCGGTCGACATGGGCGTCCCGACGCTGACCCCCGCGGACGTCCCGACGAAGCTGGCGGCGACGGAGGACGGCGCGGCGGTGAAATCGCAAATGACGGTGGACGGCGCCACGTGGCTCGCGACGGCCGTGAGCATGGGGAATCCGCACTGCGTGACGTTCGGGCGCGAGAAAGGGGACGAGAAGGGGCTCGCGGTGGACGACATGGACCTCGCCGCGATCGGGCCTTCGTTCGAATCGCACGAGACGTTTCCCGCGAGGACCAACACCGAGTTCGTCGAGGTCGTGCGCCGCGACTACGTGAAGATGCGCGTCTGGGAGCGCGGCGCGGGGGCGACGCTCGCGTGCGGGACCGGCGCGTGCGCGACCGTCGTCGCGGGCGTGTTGGAGGGGCGGACGGATCGGAAGTGCACGGTCGAGCTTCCGGGCGGGCCGCTCGAGATCGAGTGGCGAGAGAGCGACTCGAGGGTCATCATGACCGGGCCCGCGGAGCTCGTGTTTTACGGCGAGATCGACGCGTGACGTAATCAGTCGTAGATTATTCCATCGTATCTAAGTGTTATGAAGGATCGATTTATTGATGTATCGTAGGAGCGACACGCGCGCGCGGCGCGTTGGTTTCAAGGCGACGTGTTCATTCATCTCCTCCTCCTCCTCCTCCTCCTCCTCCTCCTCCTCCTTCTTCTTCTAACGACGCGCCGAAGCGGTCGAGGCGCGCTTGCATCTCCGCCTCGGACTCGTCCGCTCTCATCCCCGCGGTGGCGTAATTCGTCACCCCGTCCCACAGCGCCGCCTCCAGCCGCGACCCGCCGAACCACCGGCCGCGCATCGCCTTCACGCACGCCTCCGCGGCCGCGGGGTCTTTGAACCGGACGCTGACCGCGCCGTCGGGGTTCGTCGTGAACACCTTGACGGTCTCCACCGCGCCAAACTTCGCAGCCTCCGCTTCGACGTCCTCCTGGAGCTCCTCGCGGAACTTCGGGTCGGAGAACATCTCGTCGAGCGTGAACATCCTCTTCAAGATCGCCGTCGTCTTCTTGCGATCCTTCGTGTCGTCGAACCCGCCCCACCCGAGCGCGCTCTCTTGCTTCGCGATCGCCGCCCTCTTCGCTTTCTTACTCCCGCGCTGTTTCTTCACGTACGCGTCGCCTTTCATCTGAAACTTCGCCGCGGTCACGGACATGTTGGTCCCCATGCCGACGCGGAACGGCGTGCCGTCCAAGATGGTCGTCGCGAGCGCCACGCTCGGCTCCTTCAGATACGTCACCAGCCCGTCGCCCTTGAACGCGCCCGTGGCTTTGTCCGCGTACAGCTTGATCTTCGGCAGGCTCGTGTCCGGGTCCAGCTTGATGACCCCGCACTTTTGAAACACCTCCTTGACCTCGTCCGCGGTGGCGTCGTCGGGCAGACCGTCGACGTAGACGGACGTGTTCGTCTTGAGCGAGAACCACCCGTTTTCGTCGACGTTCGGCGCGGCGTCGGCGGCGCGTTTCGCGCGACGGTCCTTCTCCTTCTCGATCGCGCTGGACGCCATCGCGCTCAGCTTCTTCTTCTTCTTCGCGGCTTCCTCGTCCTCCTCCTCCTCCTCGTCGTCGTCGCCGTCGTCGTCGTCGCGCATGACGACGTTGCCGCTCGCGTCCACGTCCACGCCCGGGGTGGCTCTCGATCGGATCGCCCCGCCTTTCCGCTTCGCGTCTTTCAGCGCCTTGCCGACGCCGCCGCCGCCGCCGCCGCCGTCGTCGTCGTCCACGAACACCATGTCCGCCTCGCTGTACGTCATCGGCACGGGCACGGGCACGGACTCGGCGCCGCGCGGGACGAACTTCCGCGCGGTCGGCTCCCAGACGTACACGGTGCCGTCGTCGTCCTCGAATTCCTTCTCTTCCGGCGTCGCGTCGCCGTCGTCGATCGCGCCGTCGTTCGTCGCCGCCGCAGCCGCCGCGGTGGTTTCCTCGACGCGCGCGAGCTCGGCTTGGAACGCCGCGAGCTCGTCGTCCGCCATGACGAGCGAATTCGACGCGGGTGGGCCGTCCCCGCGCGATCGCTTCTGTCGTGACGAGATGCTCGATTCTGGGACTCGCCGAAAAGTTTTGCTTCAGGTTTAGGGCGGGGCGGAGAGAGCCCAGTGCGCGCGCGCGCCGCACGCTCGGCGAGACACGGCGGCGATGGCGACGCGCGCAGCCGCGCCCGCGCCGCGCTCGACGGCGGCGCGCGAGAGCGCGGGTCGCGGGAGAACCCCGCGCGCTCGCGCGGAACGAGCTTCGATCCCGCCGCGCCGCGAGAATGAAAAGTGCCCGCCGCGCGCGATTCCATGCCGCGCGCATCCGAACAAGCGACGCGCGCACCGCGCGGACGACCTCGTGACCCCGCAAGGCCGGTACCCCGCGCCGTGGGCCACGGACCTCGCGCAGATCTTCTCCTGGGACGACATCCTCCAAGCCTCCGCGCGGGGCGGGACGCCGGGGTCCGGGGAGGACGACGAGCGAATGCCGAAACGCATCGTCCTCGACGGCGCGAACATCGCGTGGTCGCTCGGGACGTCCATCCGTTCGCGGTTCAAGTGCCGTCAGTTCCCCCTCTCCGCGGGCATCGTCGCCGCGTTGGAGCACGAACCGTGGGCGAGACAAAACTACGACGTCGTCGCGTTCGTGCCCAAGGAGTACGTCGTCGGAACGCTCAACGCGCTCGCGGACGGCGGCGGCCGAGCCACGCTCAACGCCGACGTCGTCAAGTACCTCGGAAAGAATCTGTGGGTCAACACGAGGCTCATGGACCTCGTCGACGCGGGGAAGGTGAAGATGGTGTCGAGAGACGCGGGGTCGGAGGGCGCGAAGAGCGACGACCTGACGATCATCGAGTACGCGAAAGATAACGACGCGTGGATATGCAGCAACGACCAGTTTCGAGACCACCGAAGGAACCGGAGCCTCGGGTTCAGCGGCGCGAGGGATCTTAAGGCGTTCGCGCGGAGCCGGAGGTTCGAGCACGCGTTCAGGGTCGCGCCCGGGCTAGACGACGAGCTGTTGACCGCGATGCGAAACGCGAGCGGGTGGGTCGCGAACGTCGGCGTGGCCAACGCGACGCGCGTGGACGGCTCGCCGGTGCCGGAGAAGGTGAAAGCGGGCGGCCGCCGCGGCCCGGGCGGCGGATTTCGGAGACGACTGGTCGACGTCGGCGGCGCGAGAGGGCGCGCGTTGGAGGCGAGCGCGGACTTGGAGGAGAATATCATGGCGTCGATGATGGACGACGACATCATGGAGCGGGGGGGTGGGGATGGGGACGGCGAGAGCGGCGGCGAGGAGGACGAGGAGGAGGACGGAGGCCCGCGGACGAGGAACGATCACGAAAACGCGTTGAACGGCGTGCCGGCGTATTACGCGATGCCGCAGAGCGTGCTGCCGGTGTTTTTTGAGCCCGCGCCGACCGCGGCGATGATCGCGGCGAGGCAGTCGTTCTTGAAGCGGCAAGGGTGGGAGATGACGACGATGGGCGGGAAGTGATGAGGCGTGACACGATGAGACAACACGTAGCTTAATTAAGCGCTCATCACGACGCGAAACGTGGACTCAACCAGACCGCTCCGACGAACGAACCCGCTCGTAA